TATAATCAACCTTCGGCTCGTACCATCAACTCGTAGATCTTCATTTCTCCTGCATAACAACCACTCGTTAAAGGACCATCTCACCTAAAAGCTTAAGTCGATAGGTGAGGTCCTATAATATAATTTATACTAGTCTCTAACACACCCCTCGAGTGAAAGGCCCAATATTTGGGGCATGAAACTTGCACGAGTCCACATTGCTTTGTGCTTAATATTTGAGAAATTGAGGATGGTGAGACTTGAACTCGGGATCTCAAGGTCAACCAAGCTCGATACCATGTTAAAGGACCATCTCACCTAAAAGCTTAAGGTCGATAGGTGAGGTCCTATAATATAATTTATACTAGTCTCTAACAACCACTACTATCAATTGCTTACCATCTAACAAACGTTGTGCATTGAAAACATAGGACGAGTGTGTGAATTATGCCTAAGAAGCAGCTGAACGTGTCAAAAGAGCTGCTGAACGTGTCAAGATGAGAAGACCAAGTCTTTTGTTTAGTTGTTGATATTTTATTGGTCATCATTTTCTGCTATTGTTGCTATTTTTTAGCTTAGTGGCTGCGTTTATTTTTGATTTTACGTTACAAGTTCGTGTATTTAAATCAAGCATTGCACTTGAATAAAAAAATCGGTTTACGTCTCTTGTGTGTAGCACTTGGTTCTTTCTTATAATTTAACGAGTTGGTATCGAGCCTTTTTTTCTTAAAGGGATCCGTGTGTTACATTTTTCTTTCAATCCTTCAAATACTATATGGCTTCAAACAACTTTTCTCCTGTTCTACCTCCTGTTTTCACTGGTGAAAATTACCGATCGTGGGCTATCAAAATGACGAGCATATCCGCAAGCTTGGGATTTTTGGGAAGTTGTATCGGAGGAGTTTGTTATTCCACTAGTTACTGAAGAATCCACTTTGCAGCGAGATAAAAACTCACGAGGATAAAACATCAAAGCTTTTCAAAGCCAAAACTTACTTGTATTCGATTTGTGTTTGAAACCTTATTTACCGGAATTATGAATCTAGAAACACCATTCCAGATTTGGCAATATCTCAAGAATGAGTTTCAAGGCAATGCAAGAACAAGGAGCATGAGGGTCTTGAATCTCGGAAGAGATTTTGAGCTACGAGAGAATGAAAGACTACGAAACGGCAAAGGAGTATACGGACCGTTTGCTTGGGAATAGTCAACAAGCCGAGGCTCATTGGTGAAAACATGCACGATAGCGGGGTGGTTGAGAAGTTATTGGTAATATTACCGGAAAGATTTGAGGCCAAGATCTCTGCATTAGAGGAAGTAAAAGACCTCACTAAGATCACACTTCACGAGCTTCTAAATACATTAGAAGCACATGAACAAAGAAGGCGGATCGAGAGATGAAGGGACACTCGAGGGAGCAATGCAAGCTAAGCTGCAAATTCGGAAAAATCAAGATTTAAGCACGAGCAAAAATAAAAAATGGAGAAAGAACAAAGGCTCAATTGGATTTTACGGAGCTAGCGACGGTGGTGCGGTCATCAAAAATAAAAATAAAGGTACTTATGCTCCTTGTCGGTATTGTGGCAGAACTAATCATCTTCCTTCTATGTCGTTGGAGCGGACTCGATGCAAAATGCGGTAAGTGCCACCAAATGGGGCATGAAGAAAGAATGCAGTAAGGTGAAAGTGCAAGCAAATGAAGCTCAAACCATAAATCAACGGGAGGAGGAGCAACTATTTGTAGTTTCTTGCTATGCATCCATTAGCAATGGAGAAACTTGGCTAGTGGATAGTGGTTGTACAAACCACATGACCAACAACGTAGAACTCTTCAAGCAACTTGACAAGACCTCTATCTCAAAAGTAAGAATTGGGAATGGAGAATTATTATCCGTCAAAGGTAAGGGTTCTATTGCAATTGAAACCACTTGTTGGTGTTAAAGTGATTTCGATATGTTGTATGTTCCAAAGATTGATTAAAATCTCTTAAGTGTTGGTCGGCTTTGTGAAAAAGGATTTAAAGTATCATTTGAAGACAAAACTTGTATAATCAAGGATGCGAAGAGGTTGGAAGTGTTTTGTGTCAAAATGAAGGGAAAGAGCTTCCCACTTGACTTGATGGATAAGGAGCGAAAAACATTTCGAGCGATAGCAAAAGTTACCGATCTCCGGCACAAAAGGCGGGGCACTTCCATCATCTTGTAATTTTGTTAATGCGAAGCATGGAATGGCACATGGGTTAGATCCATTGGATGACAACTTGTCAAGTTGTAAAGCATGTCGAGTATGGCAAACAACATAGATTGCCTTTTCCACGGAAGGCTTGGAGGGCCTCACAAAAGCTCCAACTTGTGCATACGGATATTCTTGGACCTTTCGAACACCATCACTCAATGGCAATAGGTACTATATTGTATTTATAGATGATTTCACACGCATGTGTTGGATCTATTTTCTCGGGTTTAAATGCGAGGTGGCAAATGTGTTCCGGAGGTTCAAAACTTGGGTGGAAAACCAAAGTGGTCTGCAAGATGATGATTATAAGGTCTGCTAACGGGAAGGAGTACACTTCGAGATCGGTTCAACAAATTTTGTGAGGAGGCGAGAATTGAGCATCAACTCACGGCACCCTACACACCTCGGCAAAATGGTGTCGGTGAGAGGAAAAACAGAACTATCGTAGAGATGACTCGTTGCATGCTTTGCATGAGAAGGATTTGCCTAAAACCTTTTGGGCGGAGGCTGCAAATACTGCGGTATTTCTATTAAACAGATTACCTACCAAAGCTCTCAACAATATAACTCCTTATGAGATATGGTATGGGTTCAAGCCTTCTCTCGTCAAATTTAAGAGTTTTTGGTTGTCTTTGTTTCTCTTACATTCCATAGGTAAAGAGAGACAAATTGGACAAAAAGTTTGAACTCGGAATCTTCATAGCTACGACAACACCTCAAAAGCTTATAGAATTTTTCAGCCACAATCCGAAAAAATAATAATCAACAGAGATGTTGTTTTTATGGAAGATGAAAAATGGGACTGGAATGCGAGAAAATGAAAAAGAAATGGTTCACGATGAACTACGGCCTAATGAAGATGATGTTGATGAGCAACCGGTCGGAGGAACAAGATCCCTTGCGGACATCTATGCTAGATGCAATGTTGCTATAATGGAACCGGCGGGAGTTCGAAGCAATGCAAGAAATGAAATGGCTTTCAGCCATGCAAGAAGAGTTACGTATGATTGAGAAGAACCATACATGGCAACTTGTAGAAAGACCTTCAAACGAAAGGTCATTGGAGTTAAATGGGTTTTCAAAACAAAACTCAATGTCGATGGTTCGATAAACAAGCATAAAGCCGGGCTTGTTGTGAAGGGATATGCACGAGTCTTTGGTGTGGATTTTTCGGAGACTTTTGCACTCGTGGCCGGGCTTGACACCATCGGATTACTCCTTGCTGTGGCGACTCAAAAGGCTGAAAGGTATTCCAACTAGATGTAAAATCTGCTTTCTGAATGGCTTCTCGAAAAAGGAGATTTATGTAGAGCAACCCGAGGGATTTGTTGTGCGGGGTCCGGAAGAGAAAGTGTACTTGCTAAAAAAGGCTTTATATGGCCTTAAGCAAGCCCCAAGGGCTCGGTATAGCCGAATTGATGATCATCTAATCAACTTAGGCTTTAAAAAAAGCTTGAGTGAGGTAACTTTATATGCGAGGAAGGAAGGCACTAACAATACTATTGTTTCTATTTATGTTGATGATCCGTTGATCATAGGAACCAATCGAGGAGCTCATTGATGATTTTAAGTCCGAAATGCTTAAGGAATTTGAGATGACGGACTTGGGGCGATGACGTATTTCTTTGGTTTGGAAGTGAGGCAGCGAGAGGAGTGAGATCTTCATCGGTCAAAGAAAATATGCTAAGGAGATTCGAAGAAGTTTCATATGGAATACTGCAAGCCTACGAAACTCCTATGCAAGCTAGAGTAAAGTTTTGCAAGGACGATGGAGTCGCCAAAGTTGATGAAAATCTCTACGAAGTATGATTGGGTGCCTCATGTATCTCATCGCATCAAGGATCGATATAATGCAAGTCGTAAGTCTCCTCTCCGGATTCATGCATTGTGCGAGTGAAGAACACATGCGAGTCGCTAAAAGAATCATCGGATACATTAAAGGGACTATTGATTATGGAATCAAGTATGTAAGGAGTGATCGGTTTCAGCTGGTTGGTTTTTCTAACGATGGATCGGGGAGGCTACGTTGATGATATGAAGAGTACAAGCTGGTTTTTGTTTCGAGTCTTGGATCGGGAGTTATTAATTGGTGCTCAAAGAAGCAAGAAATTGTTGCTCAAAGCATCTGCTGAGGCTGAATTTATTGCTGCAACGAGCAGCAACAAATAATGCAATCCGGTTAAGAAAAATTCTATGTGATTTGTGTTTGGAGCAGCAAGAATCAACACAAATATTTGTAGACAATCAAGCGGCTATTTCAATCTCTTCTAATCCAGGTGTTTCATGGCAAGACAAAGCATTTTAAGATCAAATTCTACTTTCTTCGAGAAATTCAAAAGGAAGGAGAAGTGTCACCGGTGTCTTGTAGAACGGATGAGCAAGTTGCTGACATATTCACCAAAGCCTTGCCTAAAATTAAATGTGAAGAGCTAAGAAACAAGCTGGGAGTTTGCAGCTTCAAAGGCAAGGAGGAGTGTGTGAATTATGCCTAAGAAGCAGCTGAACGTGTCAAAAGAGCTGCTGAACGTGTCAAGATGAGAAGACCAAGTCTTTTGTTTAGTTGTTGCTATTTTATTGGTCATCATTTTCTGCTATTGTTGCTATTTTTCAGCTTAGTGGCTGCGTTTATTTTTGTTTTTCTGTTACAAGTTCGTGTATTTAAATCAAGCATTGCACTTGAATAAAAAAATCAGTTTCTGTCTCTTGTGTGTAGCACTTGGTTCTTTCTTATAATTTAACAGACAGAAACCTAAATGACATCCATTAGAACAACAAGCTAAATCACCATGTCAGGAGCAAATAATGACTTGAAGCACATTGCGGTGCTAGCATTTCCGTTTGCCACTCATGCTGCTCCACTCCTTTCCCTCGTTAGGAAGCTATCGACCATGGCTCCACAAACAAAATTTTCATTCTTTAGCACAAAACAATCCAATAACAAACTTTTCCAAAATGGAGGGAGGTTGGAAAACATAAAACCCTACAATGTAAACGATGGTTTGCCTGAGGATTACGTGTTTTCGATGGAGAATTCCCATGAACCAGTTGAGTACTTTCTGAAGGCAGTCCCCGGGAATTTTAAGCAAGCCATGGACGTGGCCGGGCAAGTTATTGGGAGGGAAATTACTTGCATCATGAGTGATGCTTTTTTTGGTTTGGGGCGGATATTGCACACGAATTGCACGTCCCATGGGTGCCATTTTGGACTGCTGGACCTCGTGCCCTCCTTTTGCATCTTGAAACCGATCTAGTCCGCCAGAAAATGGGAGGCGATGGTAAGGTTTTATTGTATGCTTGATCATATAAATTACACGTTCGAATTAATTTGCATGCTTTCAAGTTTTCTTTCTTATTATATAGTTTTATGTTAGTTGTTATGCATTCAATTGTCCTCAACATGAATTAAGCGGATCAAAGTAAAACTACATCAAACATTTTTTGAGTTTGAGAAAAGAATCCCATAATTGGGTTTTTGATGATCCACATGAAAAATAAAGTATTGCAGAAATAACATTATTTTGAGATAAACAGTTGACTCTTCTGATCCATAAACCTTCTTGAAGTTCTCTTCTCCATTTATATTGAGATAGAAATAATATTATGGCAGAACCAAAGTTGCTTTACGGATCAATTTTACATCAATTAAGTATGGTATAAATGGCCGAGTACGTGGAAGATATGCTCTATGCCTAGATTACAAGAGCTCTCGAATTGCCTTTGAAATTCTGTAAAATATTCAAACTTACCTTTCAATAGAATTCGGATTAAAAGATCGGAAGAGTGAGAAATTCATTTTAAAAAGACAAATTACTAATAAATTCTGTTATAATATTTTAAGATCAATTAATTCTTCTTCTTTTTTTTGTAATTTATTTTTTATATTTAATTGTTACCTATATTTATTACTTACTCCCTTCATATCATTTAAGTGGTTTTTATTTCTTTTAGTTTTTCTAAAACAAAAAAAAAAAAGAAACTTTCATGATAATATTTTTGAGTGTCTAATTTTTCTCATCTGTAAAAGAATTTATAATAGTAATATATGTTATATATTACCATATAGTACATAATGACTAAATTAAAATAAAATTAAGATTATAAAAGTAGACAATATAATTCTTCATATTTGTAAATTTATTTTTATGAATAAAATTCTACTGATCATTAACATGATAAGGTGCTCTAAATCTTTTTTTTTTTAAAAGAATTATAGAAATTATTAAAAATAAAATTGCATGCCATTAACTCTTTAATAATTTTTTTAAATCTAAAAAATGTTTTAGGAAAAAAAGTGAAACAAGTTACATAATAAAACACGTTATATAGTTTTTTCAAAGCAAAAATAATAAAAAATCTTCAAATGTATTATTAAGATGTAGAAAAATATAATAAAACATAAATTTGTTTGGAAGAACAACTTAAAAACTGAACCTATTGGTTTAACAAAAATATCATAGAACTTAAATATCTTTTAAAATGTTGTAGAAAAATATAATAAAACATAAATTTATTTGGAATAATAACTTATAAACTGAACCTATTGATTTAACAAAAATATCATAGAACTTAAACACTTCTTAACAATGAATTTATGCGTTTTTTTTTTTTTTTTGTTCAAGAAAAAAAAAATTCAAGCTAATATATTACTGTGCTTGGAGCTACTAGTTGGTAAGTAGATATGATCTCTATATTATTGTCTAAGATTTAAATCTTACAAAGATGCTGCAAGAAAATAATTTCTTATCAAGCACTAATAAACGTATGGGCAACTTGCTAAGAACAACTTGATCAGGTGCACAAATTAATGCTGATGTCAGAATACACTAGTTGAGCACAGTTTGTCACTTCTTGTTTTTCATGTACCTTGAATCGAGACATACTTCACACTCCATAGATTTTAAGAAAAAGCACATATAAGTTCATTTTTGAAATACAAATATTTACTAATAAATTCTATGCTAATATTTCCATATTCATATACTTAAGAAATTACCAATTCATTGACTTTTCTTTTCTTTCTTTTTCATTTTCTTAAAAAACCTTTCATAATAATTTTCTAATGTCTAGTTTCTCTCACTTGTAAAATAGTTTATAATTGTAATTTTTTTTTGTATTACTGCAATTAACAAGAAGAAAATTATATTATAATTAATCTTTATTTTCTTAAAAAAATTCAGAAACAATTTTTTGGAAAAAATATCACAAAAGATTATAAAATTAAAATAATTAATTAATAAAACCTGTTGTAAAGTCTTTTCAAAGAAAAAAGATAAATAAAAAATTTTCAAATTTATTTTAAGTATTCTGTAGAAAAATATAAGAAGACATAAAATTATTTGGAAGAAAAACTTGAAAACTAAACTTAATGGTCTAATTAAGATATCATCAAATTTATTGGTCTTTTATCTTTCAAAAATGAACTTATTTTCTAGAAAACGATTGCAATTGTCTTGAAAATTGGTATTGTAATCAATTCACAGCTTATTAATGTGTGCAAAAATTAACAGTTTAAGAATGTTTATTTAATTATATACTTCTCTTAATCAATATCCTCCCTCCCCACCCCACCAAAATAATAATAATAATAATAATAATAGAGAACAAAAGAGGCCAGTGCAACGGTGGACGGAGGACGAAAAGCGGCAATGATCATCGTAAATTTTGGTGAGAAGTCAGAACTTATAATTGGGCTTTGGTAAAACTAGGCATTTCCTTCGCCTGTTAATTAAATGAGGGATTTTAACACAAGCTAGTTTTGTCTGTCCAATTTGTCATGGCAAAAAAATTATTTGCTGCAATTCGCATTGCATTCTCTCTTCCGCCGAGGCATTTGAATAAAACATGTAGCCACGTTAGAGGCCTAAAACGCAGATGTTCGTGATGAGATTAGATGTACAGGATACTCCTATTTTGTATAGCATTTGATAAGAGGCAGTAAAGTTAAGCATGAATGATTACTTTTTCATGACTGACAAGTAAGTTCAAGCTAGCGTGCTTCCAAGATGCAGCATTTTTTGCAATGAACTTACAATGTGATATTTTTTTTTTTTTGATAAACCAATTTAGCTAAATACTTGAGTGAAAATTGTATAAACCATAGAATTGTCGTTCTAAGTGAAATCTTTTTCTTTCATTCTCTGCTTACTTACTATTTATTTCATTCTTGCTAATCTGTTTACTGTTTCATTTCATCTTCTCCTTTTGAAGGCCCAGAAGAGCGAACAATCGATTTGCTTCCAAGTTTTTCTGAAATACGAGCAGCGGACATACCTAGAGATATACTCTATGAAGACAAAGATTCAGAAATCCCAGCAATGTTGTATAAAATGGGACAAATGTTACCACGAGCAGCTGCTGTTGCTTCAAGCTCGTGGGTACAAATAGACCCTGATGTGGTGAATCAGCTCCATTCAAGGCTTCATAATTTTCTTGAAGTTGGTCCCTTAGTGTTGACATCTCCAATTCCTTCTATGTTTGATCAACAATGTTGCCTGGAGTGGCTGGACAAGCAAAAACGAGGCTCAGTGGTGTATGTTAGTTTTGGAAGTGTGATAATGCCACCACCTCATGAGTTAGCAGAGTTAGCAGAAGCACTAGAGAAATGCGATTCGCCATTTCTTTGGTCATTTCGAGACAATCCCGAGGAAAAATTGCCTGAAGGATTCTTAGAAAGGACTAAGGAGAAAGGAAAAGTAGTCTCATGGACTCCGCAGTTAAAAGTCTTGCAACACAGAGCAACTGGGGTATTTCTGACACATTGTGGATGGCACTCGATTTCGGAAAGTATTTTTGGATGTGTGCCTATGATTTGCAGGTCCTTCTTCGATGATCAATCCCTGAACAGGAGGACAGTAGAGGCAGTATGGAGGATTGGGGTTGGAATTGACGGTGGGATGATAACTAAAGATGGGTTAAGCAAAGCTATAAAACTTATTTTGTCAACTGAAGAAGGGGAACAAATGCGAAAGAACATTGAACACCTCCAAGATCTTGCTTTGGATGCAGTGTCAAATGGTAGCTCTACGAAAAATTTCGAAACTCTGCTAGAGGTTGTCACCAAGTAATGTCAGAAACCAAAATCTGACAGAAATAGTTTCCTTTATTACACGGGCGATTAGCTATCGTTTCAAAAACTTTTTCCTGAGTGATGTACCTAGGTAGCAGAAGTAAAATGTGCATCAGCTCTTACTTCTGTTTGAACTTTCATTTTTTTCCCTCGTTGTAATCCTGCCTTAGCAGGACTATTGTAAAGCCATAACTGTAAAGATATTAGAAATTTTGTTCATAAATAATACTCCGTATGAACTTTTCGCAAAAAACTGAAACCGCCAACACTTCTGAATTTGAGATGTTCAGACCTCCAATTTGGAACTTCCAAGCTACTGAAATGTCTGTCTTAATTGGAACTGCCTTAACTGTGCACAATTGCTATAGAACATTGCTGGCTGAGGGAGACTCATTGTTGGTGTTGCTGAGAGAGTTGCACTGCATTTGTTTAAATGTTTCATGGGTGTTTAAGTTCTTTTGTGACGGTTTTAAGAGAATTTTACAGCAAAAGAGTAAAAAATATGGTTGGAAAGTCATCTGGAATGCAGTCTATATTCCAGATTTGTAGGTAAATAAACCAAATTAATTATACTAAATACACTAGTACTAGTTCTTACGATGTTTTTTTTTTAAAAAAATCTTAAAATCAAACAAAAGTAAATAAGTTGCAATCGGTCTGAAAATCCTTAATAGAAGTTCATGAGCTATCCAAGTAGGTTGGGTCGTAGGATTGTAAGAATAATAATTTGTAACAAAATTAATCTAAACTAAAAATTAATTCTCTATACTAACATGCAATCAAAACAACAAATCCAAACTGAAAACTGAAAGATTAAAAAATCAAAATACTAATTGAAAAAAAGGGTTGCAATATCGATGGTAACTCACAAATTATAGACTTAAAAACCTTCAATGGAGCTTAAAGATCAATATTACAGGCTTCACAATGCTTCAATCTAAAATAAAAGAACTTAAATTCATAGAGATGGTGAATATTTATAAATTAACACTATAAACATAACACTGCTTGAAAGAACTATAGATCAAGATTTTGTAAACACGAGAAGAGAATCGAAACTAGCCTACAAATTATCGAGCATACTTGATTACTGTCCGTGAATTACTGCTTATAGATTACTTCCTACTAGCTATACCCCAATAAGTTTTAAGTGTATTGAAACTTAGAGAAATTTTCTACAATTGATTGCAATTTGTAAAAGTTTGGCTTGTGTGTTGTATTGTAGCTAGTATTTATAGATTTTTTTGTTTCTTCATGATCTTTTATAGCGAGACCACTTTCTTTTACACTCTAACACATCTTTATATTGCTTGATGTTCTTCCTTCATCTTATTTTCTTGTACTATAATGCATCACATTCTTAGTTTCATTGTGCTATTCTTGTGTTGTAATCTCTTACATTCTTTGTTACTATCTAAATTTTTTATTGATGCTAGAATTTTATTATTCTTTTACTAAGTAATCGATGTTTGACCTTGCTACTAAATAGAATTGTTTCCCCAATTTTTCTTCCATGATTTGGATCTTATTGAGATTTCTTGTTTTGCATATTTCTTGCCGGTTTGTTGCTGCAAGTCTTTAAGTTTATTTTATTTCTCTTGGACTAGACTTACTAGGCCATTAGTAAATGTTGGATCATGTTGGTTAGGGATGAAAGTGTCCTTAGATAACCAATGAGCTAAAGTGAAGTAAACCAAAAAGTATGTGCATAAAAAACACATTGAATAGCTTATTGCACTTGGTTCTTTTAATTTGTTGGGCCCTTGATCGTATAAATTTAGGTATAACAAATGTTTTCCTTTTTTTGTATATACGAAAGTCTTTCCCAATTGTGACAAGAAATAATTCTTTTTGTCATCTCGTGTGTTTTTCTTTTTTAATTGTTAAACTATAAGGGATACTTGAAATCGACTATTGCATCAACCTTTTGTTTTTCGTTCGGTTATACGGCAGTGGAATCAAGAATTGAAACTCTTAACTCTTTGTTCTTCATAATGAAGCAAACCAAGATTTTGTTAAGGCGGTAGGGTGCCATGGATGCTTCTCCCGCAAATGCTACTATACAAGGGTGTTTTCTAAAGAAGATATTGATCCGAAAGCTACATTTACGGCTAGCATCAAGGATCTTCCCTTTTCTTCTTTCAAGATGAAAAGTTAATGTCAAAGGGAGTAACAAAGAGAGCGACCATCCTCAAAGTCTTCGGTCTCTACTATAGGTAAAGGTAAAAGGACATTACATATTGAGGATGATTTTGACTCAAACGATGAAGAAATCCTTACTTATTATTACCTTAATTGCAAGAGGACAAGAGACGTTTCTCCTACTCCTACAACCTTTAGTGATCCCATCCCTATATAGTCTATTTCTGCTGTATCATTTCCATCTCACCTCGAAGATATTCTCCATTTGCTTCGACTTATCCTTCTTTCAATACCTTGTTAATGTTTATCTAATACTTTGCGGGATGTGGACCCTCAACAAAAATTTAATTTGTCTATGAAGACTCCTCCCGAAATATTTCATGCCTCATGGGTGTGGAAGTTATAAAAAAGGTAATCCAAGAATCTCTTTTTGTTAACCCATCTCGCTCCAATAAATGTAAAGGTCAATTCTAATAGGAGTTACAAAAGTTGACTTTAAGAGGCATGAAGGTGACTTCTCGACAACCAAAGTAGAAGACACCTAATTGATGTAGAAGTTATAGCAAAGCCAATTTTTAATATCCATGAGGGATTTTCTACTCCTCTATTGTATCTTCTTGGAGAAAAGGATGGTCCTCAAGTTTCTCCTCACGAGGATTCTAATTTTATTGCTTTAAAATTTGGTATGGATTTCTTTATTTGATCCTTCTTATCATTCTCTCTTGTACAAATATCTTTTTTCATTTCGATTGTTAGATCTCTCGAAAGCTTTCCTAAAATCTATAACCTTTGACGAGGCATTCTCCATAGTATGTCAATCGGTTTTTTTTTTTGGTGGACTTATAACTAACTAGGAATATTCCTAATGCTTTAAGAGTTACCTTAAAGTCTTTTTATAGTCCACTTACACAATCGCATGCTTACTTGTTCTAAGAAGATTCTTTTGTGCCGATATCAACTAATAAGACTTTATAATAAAAGAGTAAAAAAAATGGTTGGAAAGCAATTTACAATGCAGCTTATCTTTTACACTTGTTGTAACGTCCACAACCTAATAGAGAGCCAAGAGTACTACTACATTGTCTCACACTCGAAAGTATAAGGCAATGCATTGTGTCCTCTATCCCGAATCTCTATCATATTACATTGTTGAATTTTCATGTTCGGTTTAAAGTTCAAGGCTTCCCAAGTTTCGAATTTAGTATTAACAAAATTTTCACAACCTAAACCATTTATAAACATCCTATAATATTTTATTTTCATTCTTGAATTAAAACTAGCAAGTGAAAACAACACTAAACCATTCATATTCCAACTAACTTATTACCATTTCTATAATTAGAACAATTCATCAACATATCCAAATTAGTATTATTTTTCATAATCCTTTAATCTAATAAGTGTATTTATTAACATACTAAAATAACTAAAAGGCCAACTATTATAACTCAAAATGGCCGAATCTAGGCATTACCCACAAGTGGTCGAACCTAACAATGGTTAGTCTTCAAACTTTAAATCTAGACCTATAGTACTTGATTGGGAAAATTTTGTAGCTCATGGTCGGTATCTTCAACGCATCTAATTGTTCTCAAGCATTTTTTTATTCACCTACACCATAAGATAAAATAGTGAGCTAAGTTCAATAAATGTAACCATGTATGAAATGCAATGAAAATTGTCATTTTTTTTTCATGCTTGAAATTTATTTTTATCTTTCTAGTATATCTAGTTGAACAAATATAAATTCAACCCTTTTTTAAAATCATCATCATGAGAATCGATAAAAGCTCTAAGCATGTTTAATTCAATGAATCTCACAAAAGGTTGATCATCCCCCCTTATCCCTCTTAAACATGCCTAGCCCACATGACATGACAAGGTCGAATATCATCAAGCCTACTATCCATATTATTCAACTAAAGACACCATATTTAGCAAAACTATATATTCATCAATGATTATCGCATGTCATGACATAACGGTTTTTATAATCGAAAATCACATGTCATGACATAACAATTTTCACATGTCATGGCTTCATAATTTTTGACAATAAAAATCGCATGTCATGGCTTTATAATTTTTGTTGATGAAAATCTCGTGTCATAGATTGACACTTTTCGTCAACAAAAATCTCATGCCATGACTTGGTACTTATTATGTTTTATGTCTTATTATAATCATCTATTCTCAAATTCAAGTTCAAGATATAAACTAGGAATTTAGAGTAATAGTGCTTAAAAGTTAGAGAATTCTAGCATGATTAACTTAGACCTTCTAGTTTTTTGCACGTCTTTTAAAGCATTAAACTTGGATTTGAAAGAAGTGGCCTTCGGAGCCTTTATAGAGGACATCTCAAGCTTTCTAGAATGATATGGTGGGTTAAATCCAAGTTTGTTTGGACCTCCAAAAGATGTTTCATATTCTAGTCTAAAAAGCTAATTCAAATTTCATTCGGAGTCTAGATCGGTTATAGTGTTTAATTCATATTTGGAGTTTTAAAACTCTAATTGATGCAAAGTGAAGCCCATGGAATACTTAAGAGGCATACCTATAATTTTTGTGAGAGGTCGAGTCAAAAATACGTAAGTTTAATGGAGAAATTTAGTTACAAATTTGGAATCTTAAGGTTGGGTGGATTAGATGAGTCGGTGGTAGTATTTAACCCATAACTCGAAGTTTTGGATCTTCAATTGATGTAACAATTAATGCATTAGCAAGATAAGAAATAAGGCTATAACGTTTCTGCAGAAATAAAACTCTAATTCAACATATATCGAGTCCATTCAAGTTGATTACACAAAAAATACACATGGCTATGTGCGAAGTTTACGCTTGTGTGTGATAAAGCAA